ATTGCAATTGCCTTCCATTATTTTTTATTGAAAAGTTAAATGTAGCAGACCAAATTGTTAGAGATACTTTATCACTAAACACTTATGGCAATAACAAAGTTCAAGCCTTGGGTTTTATTGTTTTAGACTGCCTAGTAAAAAATGTTAATTATAAGATAAAGTTTATTGTTATAGATAGCAATAATACAATGCCAATTTTAGGGTTAAGAGCTTGTGTCAAAACAGGGTTAATTAAAAAGATGGACTCTTTGGTAGACACTGTAAGTTTAGATAAGGAAAAAGAATTGTTCATTAAAAAATATAATGATGTTTTTGAAGGAACGGGTAAGATTCCTTTCAAATATAGGATTGTTTTAGAAAAAAAGGCTCAACCTGTAAGTAGTGGATGCAGGAGGGTTCCTGAGGCAATAAAACCAAGACTTAAAGAAGCTTTAATTGACTTAGAAGCTAGAGGAATTATTTCAAAAGTTGAGGGACCCACTGAATGGGTTAATAATATTGTAATAGTAGAAAAACCATCAGGGGCCCTACGCATTTGTCTTGACCCAATGTTTTTAAATAAATATGTGTGTTTGGACCAATTTCCAATACCTACAGTGGATGAGTTGGCATTAAAACTAAAAGATAAAAAAATTTACACGGTACTTGATTTGAAAGAGGGGTTCTATCATGTTCCACTTGATTCTGATAGTAGGAAACTTTGTACTTTCATAACACCGTTTGGAAAATTTTGTTTCAATAGGTTGCCGTTTGGGCTTAATGTAAGCCCTGAAGTATTTCAGCGTATGAATGAGAAACTGTTTGGAGATTTGCCCATAGGAATCTATTTTGATGATTTCGTAATTGCAGGCAATTCTGTAGAGGAACATGATAGAATCCTAAAAGAGGTGATGAGAAGAGCAGAAAAGTTTGGAGTAAAGTTTAACAAGTCGAAAGTTCAATACAAAGTTCATGAAATCAGTTATGTTGGTCAAATATTCTCAGCTGACGGTGTTAAACCTGATTCTGAGTATGTTAAAGCAGTACTGTTGCTTGAAGAGCCCACAAATAGGAAAGAATTGTTGCGGGTTCTTGGAATGTTCAATTATTTATCAAAATATATGCCCAAACTTTCTGAAATTTTATCACCTTTGCGAAATTTAATAAAAAAAAATGTAGAGTGGCAATGGACAAAGGATCACCAAGAGTCATTTAAAAAAATAAAAAGTGTTGTGTCAGAAATCCCGGTACTTAAAATATTTGACCCAAAATTACCTATAGAAATGCAAACTGATGCTAGTCAAAGTGGAATAGGGGGTTGCCTAATGCAGCAAGGTCGGCCAGTTGCATTTTGCTCTCGTAGCATGACAGATACTGAGTCGAGGTGGGCTCAGATTGAGAAAGAGTATCTTGCAATTTCATTTGGTCTGCAGAAATTTCATCATTTTGTTTATGGTCGTAAGGTGGTTGTGAAAACAGATCATAAACCGCTGGTGTCTATTCATAAAAAAGATATTTGTAAAGTAACTTCTAGGCTGCAAAGATTAAAACTTAAAATGCTTAAATACAACATTGATGTTCAATACTTACCTGGTAAATATATGTACATTGCAGATCTTTTGTCCAGGTCATATCTCAAAGTGCCAGTTAAAGATGACAATGAGATGAAAGAAATAGTTCATGATTTTGAATTTGATATTCCTATTTCAGAAGAAAGGTTAAAAGAATTACGAACTGCTACTAAAAAAGATTTTGTCTTAAAGCAAGTTATAGAATTTTGTCAAACTTTTTGGCCTGATAAAAAACATATTGTGAATCCTGAAATTAAAGTTTTCTTTAAATGTAAAACTGATTTACACGTGTATAATGAGCTGTTATTTCATAATTTTAAGCTTGTAGTTCCAAAGTCATTAAGACTGATAATGTTAAATAAGTTGCATGTTGGACATTTTGGCATCGAAAAGTCCAAAGCTAGAGCTAGAAAGATATTCTATTGGCCCGGAATGTCTCAGGATGTACAGGATTTTGTGTCAAAGTGTAAAACATGTTTAAAGTTTAGTCGTAATGTTCCCAAAGAGCCAATGATTCAACATGAAAGAACAAATATTCCGTTTCAGAAGGTGGCCGCAGATATATTAACCTATGCTGGTATAGATTACTTAACTTTAATTGATTATTTCAGTAATTGGATAGAGTTGGTTCCCTTACAAAATAAAACTGCAGAAGAGGTTATCAGCAAACTTAAAGTGATTTTTTCGACTCATGGCATACCATCAAACTTTATATCTGATAATCAACCTTTTAACAGTAAGATTTTTAAGAATTTTGCTAAAAGTTGGGACATAAAGTTAAGTACATCTAGCCCAAGATATCCAAAATCGAATGGATTGAGTGAAAGATCTGTTGGCATTTGTAAAGGCATTTTGAGTAAATGCAATGATTCTGAAAATGATTTGTATAAAGCCCTTTTAGAATATAGAACTTCTCCATTGACTGGTCTAAATGTCTCTCCTTCTGAGCTTCTTAACAAAAGGATATTAAGAACAAGTTTGCCTATTTCTAACAAACTTTTAACTGAAACACCAGTAATTGATCTTGACAAGATTAGAGAAAAACGTCTTAAAGCAAAATCCTATTATGATAGACAAGCTCATGAAAGAGCATCGTTTTCTGAGGGAGAAGATATCATGATTAAAAAAGATAGGCATTGGGTTCCAGGGAAAGTCATTAAAAAGCATGAATCTCCAAGGTCATATTGGGTTGGAGAGGATTTGGACCAGGTCATTAGAAGAAACTCATCATTTATAAAAGCAAATCCCAATCATGTAAAACTTAGTCATAAGTCAGTTAATAATTCTTTTAATGATGATGGAACTGGTTGTGAGTTCTCCGCTGGTAATCCGGTAATGTCAGATAGTGAAGTTCGTGAGTCAATTGGGCGTGAAAATTGTGAGCGATTTAGTGAGACGGCAGTAAATTCTCTTCCCGATAGTGACTATAAAACCAAATCAAGATTTAGTGAGACTGAAGTAAATTCTCTTCCCGATAGTGACTATAAAACCAGATCAGGACGTTGTATCATAAAACCTTCTAGGTTTAGAAATTAATTGTATTTGAAAAGCTTCTATGTTTAGAAATTAGTTGTTTTTTGTTATTATTTAAAAATGTATCAGTAGAATTCAATGTATTTATTTTTCTTGTGTTGAATTAAAACATTTCTATAAAAAGGGAGATGTAACATAAAGCTGGTCCTGTGTGTTTTGAATGTGGGATCATCAGTGGTTACGTCACTGACACAAAACAGCTGATGCCGAGCAGGACGCACTCCAATACACACAGGCTGGAGGGTGGTGGATTGATAATAAATAAACCATAATAAAATAATAAAGTTCATTTAAAAGTAATATAGTGTTTATTAAATAACCTGCGTTGTACCTGCTGTGTAAGCTTGTAACACACAGCAACCCCTATGATATGGGTATCAAATGAAAGGGCTTAATGAGCAGAACACGATAAATAAAGTGACGTCATTCTGAATCCAATATGGCGGACGTCTAATATGACAAGGCAATATTTGCCGAGTTCGGAAATGAAAGATTTTTTTACGCGCTACATTTAGTCAACTGGCAACAGCGCAATCAAAGCTTTGGGCCAGCGGCCACGGGAACAGCTGTTCATCCTTTGTCGATGGAATCTTCTTAAATTTGATTCGTAAAAGATGCTGATTCTGATATCCTTTATACGTCATCGTTTGGCGCGTAAATCACGTATTTAAATTTTAGGGAAAGAGCCCTTCATCAATGAGAAACATCAAATCACAAAAAGTTGCTAAAGCAGTCAAAATCCTCTATAGACTTTATTAGAAAATATAGGCCTTTTCTCGAGTGAGTGATACTTACTGTTGTTCATATTTTGTTGTAAAGTTCCAAATTTCATTATTCCTCATTCCTCATTACCGAATGGATATAAATAGAAAAGTATTGAGTGGAACTAAAAATAGAAATCCAGACATGTAAAAATGTACAGGGTAGTCTATTGAAACTAAAAATAATGCTGCCGAGATTCATAGAAAGCGGCAACACTACAACATCAAAAATATGTTATAACGTGTTCGTTTATGACGTCAGTCCTCTAATTCAAATCATTGCGATTTTTGATTTTCGATAACGTCTAATGTTCCGTCCTTCATAATTTATCCTGTATAAACATTTGGCGAAAGAGATCAACAGTTCGAAAATCTTCAAAGCTTGGCTCCCAAGTGGCCATAAAAACTGATCCATTTTAGCTACACCACGGTCATAAATTTAGCTTAGGGCTGCTCGTCTAAGGCAACGGTATAAAATTAAAGGTAAATCGCCGGGAATTCAGTACCTTAATAAAATTGAATGTGCCCTCTTCGATTTTCAAGCAGGCAGCAAATTATGTGAAATCAAGAAAATATACTTTTTACTTATTAATCATCCGACGATGCGTGTCACTCATTGTACGCTCCAAAAAAACCGAAAACCGACCGAGATTAAACATCAATACGGCATAGTTTCAATCTCCATTATTCCCCATAGACTTTCGTTGCTATTTCAAGCTTGAATTTGTTTGATCGTTGGGAAACTTTTTTCTATCTCCCAAGAAATATGTGATTATAATCAGTTTTCCACAAGACAATATTTTTTATATCTTTTCGGAAACCGAGATTAATTGAAATCACAATATAGGTAACAATAATGCAATCAGTAAAATTAGCATAGAAGGTTGAATAATACCCGGAAATATATCAAATAATAATGTGAGAATCTGGGTTAATTTTTCTCGCTTTTCCATCCACAGACGCGTTCCGATATATCAGATCTCATCAGTGTGGCTTGGAAAGGAAAGAAAACCAACCCTGTAACCAACCAACAGAATCATGGAATAAAATTGTTCATTATGTTAAATTAAATATATTTCACTATTGAATAATCGTTCTTGCGTATGGTATTGGTATGGCTTATGTATATCATCAATATATTATATTAATTACTTACGCTTTATGGTTTGGATCTTTGACATAATGGTTTGTGCAAGTAATTGGATAGCATTTGAAGCTCCCTCGAATATTAACACAAGCGTCTTGGGGTCCACAAACATTTTGCTGACATTCATCAATATCTTAAAAAATGAATAAATGTGTATCGAACTTTTTAAAAGTATGTAGAAAACCTACCTATACAAACTCTTTTGTCACTTCCCAGTTTGTAACCCTTTGGGCAGTCGCAAGAATAACTACCAGGAACATTTACGCAATCTCCAATACATAGCTTGCGGTCTTTAAAGCGTTCGCATTCATTGATATCCACACAGGTCCTATAAAACGGACAAATAAACATATTTTACCTATATTTGCACATGGTAACAGGGTTCTTCAAAAGTCTGGTAAATAGATTTCGGTTCTTTTTTTTTTTTTTCGACCCCTTGTCCCCAACCGCTTTACCATTTTTATAAATTTTAACGTGTAACAGTTGACCTTGCTGTAAGTTTTTCGCGATGAAAGGGGTGTGACATGCTTTGCTGATCAAATTTTCGTATAGTCAACTTTAGGACGAATAGAGGGTCATTGGAAAGGCCGCGAAAACTGAGTAGGTACTATCGCTTGAAGCGACTTACCTGAAGAAATGTTGAAAGTAACCTGTACTATCTATTTTTCAAGCTTCAGGTCGATGGTAAAAACTCTACAAGGTTTTGAATAATTTGAGGATACAAATTATTTTATTTTGCCTTCCAGTCAATGTTGGCTGATCTATTCTCGTAGTTCAAATGAGCTCAAGGGACATTACTCAGACGACGAAAGCGCAGAATATATAGAATTCAAGAATGGGATATCACGACCACTTACTTGCTTAAGAATAATATGGAGATTTAAACCCGACGAACCTATCAAAAAATATGAATGGCTCACTGTTACCTATGGCACGAGCAAAAGAAAACGTTCAACCAACTTCAATAGGTTGAACAAACGAATTTTGATTCACAAATTCGTTTCCGGGACTTTCACGTAGTTCGCGTGTGAGGTGTCCTCTATGTCACCAAAAAAATGCAGAAAAGAAAAATCCGGCAAGAGAAGATAGGAAAACCAGTAACAAGAAGATTGGTGGAATACGAATGCTGATCCAAAAGGTCAAAATTATTCTTAAAACAGCCGCTCTACACAGAGAGGAATACTACAAGTGCTACGACCATCCGCGAAGGCACAGGAAAGGGAGGTGGCGGCAGTATGACAGTCAACAGGAAAGAGGCAGCCATACTTCTAGTCTCCGTGATGTCACTCCAAGGAAAGAAGAGCCACCGCAAAACGTTCGCGAGCATTTTGCAACAAGTATTCCGCTCACCGTGGATAACGTCCTAACTGCTGCAACAATTTTTTGTTCATGTACCGACACCGTATGGAAAACATTTTGCGCCGCGAAAAAATGAGCGCGCGCGAGCAAGTCTGAGCGCGCTACCGTCTAAACTGACATGTTTTGCAACTTTCGCGAATGTTTTGCGCTGTTTGTTGCACCGGTCTGGATGCACCTTGGGAAGTTAGGAACACCGAGCGGTCTAAGGCGCTGCGTTCCGGTCGCAGTCCACTCAGACAGGCATAGAGATGTTAAGCAGATGAATAGATAGAGAGTCATTATGGATCTGATTGTGGAGCTTACTGTTGTACCTAAGTCAATGATGATGTTTTAAGTGACTCCAACAATTGGCATAGCTGAACAGTCTCCTCGTGGTGACAGCAACTGTTTTTTTGTTGTCGCCCCATTTTGTTTCACAGCTGAAGCGAAGAAATAACCCAGAAATAAAAAAAAATCAGTTTTAATAATGTACTTAGTTTTTCGAATATTTTACAATCTAAATCGATGTTGTGATTGTTTAAGTAATTAATCATATTGTATTGTAACCAGCAAGTAGTAGGATGTATCCATTGTTGTCAAAGGCAGTCGAAGGACTTTTTTGTGTTTGACTCACTTTGCACACAAGGTAAGCGCTCCCTTAATTTAGTATTACCTGATATTAGTTAACATTGTGTTTCCAAATTGTAGCCTTGAGAAAGAAAATAAACATTTTCGGAAGCTTGGAAGTAGGTAAGTAGCAGAAAAGAGTCTTTTATTGACCTAGTCCCGAAGAAAAAGGCTGATACCCCAAGAAATTATTAACTTTGTTTCGTTAACTAGTCAGCCAAGACTACCTTCAAACTAATTGAAAAAAATATTATATTTCAAAGATTGAAGTGATAACCAATGTGAGTTAATTTTTCAATGAAGGAGAACAAAAAGTCAAATCCTACAATTCCAAAAAAGAGAATATATTTTTTCAATAATCACTCATTTGACTACCATGGTTTCGTAGTCCAAACCTCACACCCCATCTTCAGGTCAAAAGGCTACAAAGAACATACAACTATTTTCTAAAAAATCTTCTAAAAAGGGGTACTTACAATTCAGGTTACAAAGTCATATATAGGGTTATCCATTTTCTGCTTAAGAAAGTACACGCGTGACATTTGATAGCGGTCAAGGACACATGTTAACAAAACAGGTACCTAGTTGTTTAGTTGGATGGATGCCATTTTAGAATATGGATCGTTTTACCACCGCAGACGGTACCACAAGTCACACAACACGAGATAATCAGACTTTGTTAAAAGAAAAAATTCCAGGACGAGTAATTTTGAGATTGGCTGATGTGAATTGACCAATACGGTCCTGTGATCTAACAACGTAGGACTTCTTCTTGTGAGGATATGGGAAAGATCATGTTTATGCCAACAACCTTCTAACGATTGACGCGTTGAAAAACAATATTCGTCAAGTTATGACCGGGATATGCCTGAAATGTGCCAAAAAGTTGCCAAAACTACCTCAATAGGATTGAGTCCTGCAGGAGGTCCCGTGGAGGATATTTAAATATTATAATTCACACATAATGGCAATAACCACACTTTATAATGCCATAAAAACTTTATCGCAATCTCAATCTTTAGTGTCTTTTTTTTTCAAATTTATTTTATCAAGGTGAACTTGGATAACCCTATATAAAAAAATTGTAAAAAATGTAAAAAATGCAACAACATACAAAAAACAGTTAGGGGACGAATGGCCATACAACAAGACGAAATCTCTAAAATGTAATAGGTTGTACTTTTCGTTTTTTCATAATAAAATTTTTAAAATTTTTCATTTTTACTGCACATGGTACCATGGTATCAGCCCTGTTCTAAGTCAAGAAAGCAATAAGCAACTTGAATCCGGACAAATCTGTCAAGTCAACTCCAACCAGGAATTGACAAACTAACCAGTAACGCCATCTATGTTATCAACAACTAAACTATGCAAAATAGAGAAATCTAATATATATTATTACAGTGAAAAAGAGGTAGAAATTATCTATTAAAAATTAAGGACGGACCCGTGGTATTGGTATATATTTCATTTCCAATAAAAAATCTAACGCTTTTTCCTCGGCTTTTCCACTACCATAAAGAAATGGGAATTTAGATTGCAAGGCTGAGAGTCTGGTGCTACTGGCTTAGGAACAGAAAGGCCAGATTCTCCAGATTCCTGTCTGGTTCTTGAAGACGTTACCATTTCAAACCAAATAAAAGAAAATACCTTAATAAAAAGAAAAAAAAATGAATAAATCAAATAATACTTTGTTATTAGTATCCACCACTGTAATTATTTACTGCTGAAAATCAATTTAGGCTGAGGTGCATAAAATCAAATAAAAGCCAATTCAATTTAATAGAACAATTACTTTAATGATGTTGAGATTTTAGTTCAATAGAACAAATTATCTAACTAGAATGTTGGTGGATTAATCAATAGAAAGACGATATACAGCATATCCATTAACATCAACAACCTGACTGGTTATTGCTGAAGAATTTTAAATCACCTAATCAATTATTGTGGACTATTTGATTAAATTTGGTTAATTAAATATCAACTGTTTTTAATGGCTGGATTCAAAATAAACTTTAACAGTTAAGCCCTGTATTTATACGTATATGTACCAATAAATGTACCAATAAATCTACGATTGCCGATTGCGAAAAAAAAAAAACGAATATAGGGATATGTAGAAATTTGAAATTATTCATTAAAGAGCACGCAAAATCATGTTTGAGAGTTTCAATACCTACCCCTATATATCCGTAGGTAATCCTATTATTTCGACAAATTTAATAAATTGTCACAGAAAATAAAGCTCAACTAAAAGCGGATTTAATCGACTTGCAAAATGAATATGCCGATAATGATTATGGGATTTAACTATTTATTTTATTACCTGTTATCTGGGTTTAAAGTATATCCAGGTTTGCAAGCACATCTATAAGATCCCCATAAGTTGATACAGATATCTTGACACAAACCAGTAATTTCTTCACATTCATTTATTTCATGACAAGCGTTTTGTATCATCTTAAATCCAGAATGACATAAGCATTCGAATGACCCTATTGTATTCTTGCAGTCAGCGTAGTTTCCACATGGCTAAAAAGTGCGTTTATTAAATTAACTTTCAATAATGATGATATTATGTCAACTACAATAGACCCGAATTGGGTAGGGCACCCCTAGTAAATTGAAAGGGCAGATACCAAGAATTAAAATTCATTCGTCACAAAAAAAAGCAAATTGACACGGGAAAAAATGTACCTAAACTTTCACACAAAATACAATTTTGCAACCACATTCTAGAAGTTATTTATTAGCATTTTTATTAAGCTTTCCATGCAACAAAATAACTAAATTTAACTTTCCCTATTGAGATTTTATTTTTTAATTAAGCAAATTAAAAACCAGGAGAATAGCTGCTCGCTAGCTCATTTGAAGGTGCATCCTCGCAGAAGTCCTGAGTCCGAAAAAAAAAAAGTAAGGTAAAAAACTTCGCTAAGTGAACTCCGAAACACACAACCGCCTTTTTTAATGAACAAATTAATCACTAAAAAATTCCTCGAGGATTATACAATTTGGATGTGAAGTGATGTTTTGTACGAGAAGGTCCGTTGGCAATGTAAGTTGCCAAAATGTTTTTCCAGGTAGGTATTAACAGACGTGAAGTCAAGGATATCACAATCCTTGTTTGGGAATGAAAACGAAGCGCGTATAGGAGACAAGATAATAGCCGTACCCCGGTCACAGAGCTTCGGAGTCGCGCGCATCCTCTGTCAGTTCTTTGTTTGTCACTTCTGTCAGTTCCCCCGTTCCAGCAGCTGATTATTTGTTTATGTTTACAGCTTGATATCGTACTCTTTTGGTTCGGCTTGTTCACTCCGTGCACTCCTAGTGACTCCATTCGCACTCCAGCCGTTCAGGTACTGCTTTTTGGCGTATTAGGGGTGACTCAATTAGCGTTCGACTATATGGAGTAAATGGAGTTCACTCCAAAAGTTCCTCGGAAAGAGAATTTTTTAGAGTAAGCATGCGCAGAAGTGAAATGTGGAAACTGTCAAACTTTTTGTGTTCTCACGTTGTGGTTGTTGTTAAAAAAATTAAAAATCGTTTATGTGTGGATGCGGGAATTGCTAAAATATTTGATTTGATTTTAAAATTTATTAAACATAATGGAACAGAATACGGAAATAAGCAGAAGTACGCATTTTGTAGTTACTGATTGGGGCGACCATGACAAATGTGTTATGGTGGATGGACAGCTATTACTTTGTGACAGAAGTACCTAGTGAGTAGTTAGGTACCTATTAAGTATTTCTGAAGATAATTTTTCCAATTTCTTCCAAGATAAATTTAAAAAAAAAAAGGTATGACGTCGGCAATGGTGGCACACTAATATGGCGGCGATTACCAAAAACGAGGCCGATAAGCACTCTTTTTGAGTGTGTTTTCTCCTTGAGGTTGACCCTCGTATATTAATGACATTTGATGACAGATTATTTTCTTAAGTTCAGGGTTATGAAACAGAAAGCCGAGTTGCCAGAATGTGTAAAATATCTGAGTAGATTTAATTCCAAAATAGACTCCTGGATAAAATTATCGTACCACTCCTAATGGTGCTTATGTGCAGTGGTGGTGCGATAATTTTGTCCAGGAGTATATTTTTCCAAATTAATTTTTAAAAAAAATAATATTAGTAAGTGTAGGTAGTGAGATTATTTAATTTATTTGACATCTAAGAAATCGAACGTAACCATAACAGTAAGCTTAACAGCATAAATATGTTTTCGCATTTTTTTTTTTCGGATTTGGTCAGGTTTGGTCTAACAAAAATATTGGTTGCTGGTTGTAAGTAATGGCTTCACATCTACATTTAAACTATACCTACCCCAAATATATCTGGTAGTTGGACTTCAATTATTATTCCCTGAAGAACCTCTGGTTTGTTTTTCTTGAAAACGCCGTAACATTTTATAATTTTCCTTATTTTCTCTTATAAAGTTATTTTGGGCATTTTGAATATGAAATAAATTTGACAATGCCGAATTTTAAAAAATGTCAATAGATTTTGCAGGTATGAAGAATAGTTAGATACCGTTTATATATTGCACTGTTGAAAAATGTGTCAAATTTGATTGGCCAGATAGGCCAGAGAATTTCAATAATGCGACACTTAAGAAATTATGTAAAACACACTTAAAACTGTCTGGAATTTGATTTGTTACATAATGTCATTATTATACGAGGGTCAACCTACCAAATTTCCAAGGATGATGAGATGCCAATAATATCTGAAAGGCAAATATATATATTTTTTTTGATAATGAAATTTTATCTGTGCCGTTATGTACTGACATAATGGAAAAGTTTGGGCTGCAAACCGGGCTGCGAGGGGCAAAAGATTAGCTAAATATACCTGGTCCTAGTGGACATCATTTTATGATTTTTTTTAGAGCCCATGGGACAGGGTGGAAAGGAAAACATGGATGAAATTTCTTGCAATTCGGAACAGGAAGATAATGCAACAAAGATTTGGTCATCTGAAAATATATTAGCCCTTATAAATACTGTTAGCGAACATCTTTTTTAAATTGATTATCATTAAATAAATGCACAGTGACCTCAGTAAAATGATCAACTTTTTCTATTACATTTAACTCTTCATTACCTTCTCCATCATTACCATAAAAATAAATTTCCTTGACAAAGTTAAACAGAAGCAAGAGCATCATATTTTTCATTATTGTGGAGAAATTGAAGTTAATTTATAGTACACGAAAAACAAAAGTGAAAAAAAAAAATTGGAAACTGGAACTTGTAAAGTCACTTTTGACTGTTGTTTTGAAACAAAACAAGTCACTTGTTTGAATTTTTTCTCCGACCGTTCCGGTTGTTCGTGTATTAATTTTTCAGTATAATCACTCCTAGATAACGTGACAATCTGCTCTTACTCCACTCCAACTCCGTGCTGAATAGCCGAACCCAGCTATAAAAGTTGAGAGGTGATGGCAGTCCAAAACCATCAACCTTGTACTTCTTTGCTTATATTGTTATGCTATTTATGATATTATGATATTAAAATGAAGTTTTCTTCATAAATTTTTACTCATCTATATCTTCCTTTCCACTAGGGGTTTTTTTCATCTCTGAAAATAAAAGGGATGAGGGACTAGATGCAATTTTACAAACAACAAACAAATCAAGATCCGCGAGTAGTGAAACTAACATATTTTATATAAATCCGCAGGTGGCGGACCTTTATTTTATTTTTTAAAGGTCCGCGATTGGCGCATGGAATATCTCCACTAGATTTTCAGGATTGGTGAATTGATAACATAAACCCTTTATGTTGAATTTAGGGCCTTGAGGCCTTCTAGACAGAAAATGCAGACTTATCTAAAATAACCAGTCCGTCTAGTGCTATCTAGTGCAGTCCTTGTAAATTAGCATTTTATTTAAAAAACGAGGCGCACTTAAGGCACGCTATGCTCTAAACTAAATTAACTTGTTTTTTTTTTTTTTTTCATAAAATGGTAACGAGGACTAGATCCCACTAGATGGACAGGTTAGTTTGGGTAAATCTGCATTTTCTGTCTAAAGGGGGTTTCACATGCTGCAAGAGTACCTACAAGTCGGCGCAAGTTGCAAGAAGTCTTGCAAAAGGTATGCGCAGTTGAAATTTAGCTAATTGCAAGTTGCAAGACTTCTTGCACTTGCAACTAATCGGTTCCGTTCGATATTTTTGCAAGTGCAAGACTCGGCAAGAGTATTTTTGGGGGGAAATTTGGTAATTTTTGGCATGCCAACATTCAATAAAAGCTACTACTTTTGAAATTGTATTTATAGATTTATGGCGGCACCAATAATGATGCAAAAACTAGCCGGAATTGCCTTTATTCTATTTCTACCACTAATTTTTGAAATACGATTCATTTTTATGAAAACGTAAAAGGAAAACAGAGAGAGTGACAGCACATATAACAAAAGTAACAGTAAACAATAACCAACTACCAATATCGAAAAGAATAGGTATTGAAAAGTAAGGTCCTGTTTGCCTATGCATTCTTCTCCTTTATGTTGGCCGAAGAAAGCAATTGGAAGGTTTTAAAGCAAATGTGAAACCAAACCGCAAGACGGCGCAAGAAATCTTGCAGAAAGAATCTTGCAGGTACTTGCACTTGCACCGTCTAACTGCAAGATTTATTGCAGCATGTTAAACTCCCTTAAAAGAAAAAAGCTATTCGTGCTAAAAAAATTTGAATCAAAAACATTAAAATAAAAAAAATCGAAATTTAGGTTTTCAAAAAAAGAAAATGAACCCTAGACTCTGAATTCTATTTTGTCTTAAAAATTGTCAATTTTTCAGGAAGGGTAGGGCAGAAATTACATATTTTCAGATCACGACACCATTGGGGTCTAAAACTTAAACAAACAATAAACAAATAATCAGCTGATCAGTGATCAGCTGGGTGGGACGCTAGCTGAAATTGACATGTGATGCGCGCGACTCCGAAGCCCTTTGACGGCTAATGTCTTGTGTATAGGATAAATTCCCGAACAAGAACTGTGATGGCCTTGACTCTATGTTGGTTAATACCTGGGAAAACTTTTTCACAACTTACATTGCCAATTTACGTTGGAAAAACCTTCTTGCAATCTACATAAATAAAGTGTGATGTATTTTTGTCCTTGATGCTTATACATCTCGATGTTTTGGGTATTTTGATTCGAGTAATTTTTCTTTTTAACTCGTTAAAGTAATTCTTATAACTGGTAGTCCAGGAAATATGTAATTTTAGGTTGCAAAATGGTAATCCTGGACATAGGCTTGTTTCATGTTTTCAGGGTTGCTGAATCCGAATTTAGAACTTCCCACCAAAAATTCCCTCCGCAACCCCCCTAAATTTTGACAAAAATAAAAAAATACCGTTTTTGTTTTGAGAAATTTAGAGAAATGCTATCTGGAAATTCGGAGAGTAGACAAAATTCACAACAAAAAAGATCATTATATGATATTTTGACGTAGAGCGCTTGGGTAGGGGGCTCGGTGCCTCGGTGCCATACGCTCGCCGGCATATCAGATCAGATGGTAACTGCGTTGCGTGTGCGTAGTTTTCGCCGCTATCGCGTCCTTGATTCATCTTCTCCCCTGACACACCTGTCAGTCATGTCATGTAGTCGGGAACTCTGCCCCAGGGCGATGTGTCGTGTCATATTTATAGCAAGTTGTTTATCCCGCTCGCAGTGTTTGACATGTTTTATAACATTTGCAGTGTTTTTTAATTAAGCTGTTTTAAAAAACGTGTTATTGAATATATGAATGTTTTTAGGAATTGTTATTACTCATAATAATAACAATAACCATGGTTGATGTGACATTAACCTCTATCGGCTACGGGAAAAATTATTCTTCAACCGATACAGAGTGTACATACTCACAGACACCACACACAGACACACCATTAGAATTCGTGTTAAAACTTAAATTAATCTCTAATTATAGCCAAATTTAGTTCAAATAAAACTAAAAACTGTTTCAAATAAGCAAACTTAGTTTATGTTTGGTTATTTTGTTTATTAGTATGGAAAACTTATTTAATTTATAATTTCTTCTGAAAATAATAGACTCCATATACTTCCTCAGCGTCTAGACAATTTCCAAGTTGCTTTGCACCAGCTTTGAGTCCATCTAAGTCATCTTCGCTATCTATATCGTCATAACGTTCATCATAATCTGACTCATCAAAAAGATTTTGTGCCAATTCTTGAAACATTCTCGAAATATTGGTTCATCTGGATGAATCTCGGGATGAATTTAAGTAATCGCTACGCTGTGGTCAGACCAGTATGTATCTTTCGGATTGAATAAAAAATCACTACTCACTCCACCGACGTTCTCGCATTACTGATGGGTGGGACAGTGATCCACTGAAAGGTACATAGACCCTCACCTCTTACACAAGTAGTGTTTCAAAATAACCACTGTGCAGCCGTTAAAGGTTAATTGCTTCACTTGCAAAGTTCCGTTATCGGAGGGCATTGAAATGAATTTCATTGCCAACAAACTTTCAACTTGCCTGAAAATACGTGAGTAAAAGTTGGGGGATGATTGTTGAAGGACTACCAGTTGTTGAAAAATAAGAAAGATTAAAGAAGGGAAAAGGGAGGGGCGTTAAAACAAAAGATAAGAAGGGTGGAGGGAGAGCCAACTCACACGGCGTGGATTGTTAAGCGAAGTGCCTAACTCGGCGTATGATACCCTGGGGCGCCAATGAGCATGCTTCAAGGTATGCCAGCGCCATCTACGTTCGCCCTACGTGAAAATGTTTTGAGATATTTTTGTTGCATATTATGTCTACATTTCAAATTTTTACCAAAAAAAAAAAACGTTTTTTCCAAAAAAAAAAAAAAAAACGATATTTTATCTTTTTTTCAAAATTTGGGGGAGTTGCGGAAGGAATTTTTGGTGGGTTGAAAATTTGAATTCAGTGACCCAAAAAAACATGAAGTAAGCATATTTCCAGAACTACCATGAATTTTGGCAAGCAAAGGTCCTCATAGGATCTCTATTGCCTGTATTATGGCGCCATCTTCTACTTAGTGAAATAATTAATTCACGAATGAAGAAGTAACAGTCTACGGGCAATGTTACAGAGATTTTTGTCATGCTGTCTTTGTGAATTGCCATCAAGAATTGAGAATATCATGCCATGTTGAAATCGATGGTAGTTCTCAATATGAGCGTGATATCAATGTTATATGTGGATGTCCGACATCGATGACAATACCAATATTTACCTTACGAAGCCTCTATTCCTAGAATCACGCAGTAACACTATTTTATCAAAGGCCGATACTTCTATCATAATCTGGCAACTATGTCTTTAAAAACTCTATCAATTGTTCGATGTAAATATTAGTAATCTATTTGCTGCCAAACGTCAGAGCTTGGAAATAGCATATTTTATATAGAGTTCACATTACCTTATAAAATTTGCATTCATCCAAATCTTCACAAGCTTGAGTCATTCTATTCAGATGGTGTCCTGGAGGGCATTCGCAGGTGTAATATCCCTGTCCGTTTCTGCAAATTTGGGTTTTACTGCAGTTATGAAGACCGCCTTTAGCACATTCATCTACATCTAAAATAAATATATGATATATGAAATATAGGATTTACATTAGATAAATAAAGAACAATAATTATTAGGTACTCTTAGTTTCAATTTATAATATTAACGGATTGGTTGCTTTGTTACTATTGATATTCCAATCCACTTTCCGGGAAACGATCTCTGGAAGGATATTATGCAGGTGAATACCTTATTGTAATTGCCAAAATCAAATTTCTACACGACGTGGGTATGCTGCATACTACTTGAAACTGTAGTTTCAAGTATATATTAGGATTTCGATAACCAATAAATCAGCTTATTTATTAACTGCATTCAGCTAGGTTTGAGAATTTATTATAATTAATATTGAATAGCTTCAAAATAAAATTGGAAAATCATTCATAATTTGGAACTGGGGCCTGAAAAACAAATCGCCTTTGATTTGTATAAATTGGGAATACGAAAAAGCATAACGGCCATTTAGACCACTGTTCCTTCTCCGCCTTTATCAATCTTTGTTCCCGTTAATAAAATGCTTTTATAAAATTCTTTTATAAATTGTTTCTCAGCCCAACCAAGATAGGTAATTTAAGAAGGGCGATTTTTGAGATTGAAATTTCGAATCGAATTCGTATATGCATTGGCCGCAATTTTCCGTTAAACAACCTGTCGTTGTCATCGCGTAATGATATAGTATAGCTTTATATAGTTTGGGGAAGCTAATCTTTCATAGTCACCATGTTTTCAACAGGAAAACTTGTTTTTCTTATAAAACAACTACCTACGCTAAAAATAATAATTACATATTGATATTAGGTGCGTTAAATTATCAAACCATATTGTGGTATAAATCAGCCTGCTTCATAAACTTTACCAGCCTTATTAAGTAAGCTGCGACTCTTGTAATATAAAATTATGAAATTTCAAAATTTCCGATTAGTGACCAGTAATATACATTTTCACGTTTACAAGCACAATCATAAGTAATTCATTCAACACACGCATGTATGTTTCTCTGCGCATTTTTAGAAGTCTCAGGATAAACAATAGGGAATTTTCATATTTCTCAATTTTTTTTTTTAGATACTTCTAGTGATCAGATATTACATAATTTTTTTTTCCCATTTTAATTTATACGTTGTACGAAAAAAAAAACTATTGAAATTCAAATCAAAAACTTTGGCGCGAAAACGCGAGGCTTCAATGTGACAGCGCTCGTGACGTCAAGATTTCGTAAAAAATAAACGCAGCAAACGAACTCTTTGTAATATTTAAGTGTGTTAAAGTTTGCTTTTTGTGAAAATTGTGGCAATGGATAAAGAATATTGTGAAGGACTGCTTTTGTAAATTTTTTTTTTCACTTGCAAGTTCCCTATTGGTTTGTTCACAGAATCGTGACGTCAAAAAAAGTAGCCATCATGGAAGCATGTTTTGGTGCGAAATTTTTTATTTCAAATTTAGTATTATTTTTTGTGGAACAAGGGCGGTGTCAGTTAGATAAAAACTGGTCATATGAATATTGTGCAATATAAACTACGCTACGTCTAGAATCCCGGTAACGGTAACACATTTTTTACCGGTAGTTATGATGACGTCATCGATATGACGGACTTGTACCGGGATTTAAGTGAATCCCGGTGTTTTGATTCGGTTTTTATCGTTATTTAGCAGCTGATTGGTATTTTTGGTGAGTTTATCATATGTTTTCGTCACTTTTTTGAAACATTTCAAACTACACTTTATTTTTTCCCAAGATAGATTTTGACATTGAAAACTTTGAAACATAAACAATGCCCGCTAATGCCACTTATTGGTCGATATTGTAAAACTGATGATGTCAACCTGCAGAAACACCTCATTTTGGGACCAATCAGGGTCAAGCGTTATTGTTTATGTTTCAAAGTTTTCAATGTCAAAATCTATCTTGGGAAAAAATAGAGTGTATAAAAGTTAGTTTAGGTTCGAAATACCTTATAGAAATGATTTGCGTTCAGAAATGTCGAACAAATCATCCAAGATTAGAAGTAATCTGCAATCAGATGATAGTAAACTAGGGTCGTTATATTTCCGAAAACCCCCGAGATTCCTGAGAATTTAAACAAATTTACAATAGTGTCATTTTATAATATGTATAGCAGTTTATAATCGAATTTAATATTTATTAATTTACTTCATTAAGTCAATATAATTATGTAACTATACTGTTCAGAATGTGAATTAAAATAAATATCTCTCATTTTTTATTTATAAGTTTGCAATCAGAACAATACAACATTTTGGGTATTTTACACAAACTGGCACATTTCACATATCAAAGTCTGTTCAACTTCTTTATAACTTTTAAATGTTTGTCCTACATTAAAAACAAACACTGCACTTTACGTTCACACGTCAACAAAACAAGTTAAAAACATAAAAAGTTAGGTTAAGTTGGACTTTGATAAAACAGAAACCGCCAACGACTACATTTTTTACCGGGATTGGCTTGAATCCCGGGTCGCATCAAAACTACATGTATTACCGGTACCGGGATTCTAGACACAGCGTATAAACTATCGATTTAAAACAAATTTGGAAAATTTTATTTCACTTGCAAGTTCCCTATTATAATGAGTAAATTATTGCATTTAACATGATATGTATGATTTACATAATGTTATAAAATATATCTAATACTTATATGAAATATTATCAGGGTCTTCTAGCTATGTTACCATCACTGCTTATCACTTGATGTTTGAATACCAAATTTTTCCAGGGAGTTCTTCCCAATACTTTCAACTCCGGACTTGGGCATGGTCGAAACTAGTAACATCTATCATAAAGTATTGACTTTTTTTATCTATCTCAATAACCACAAACTACAGCGATATTTTTTTAAACTCAAACGTATTTATTTTTGGCAACTTAAGATTGAAAAATTACTTAAAATATGCTTACCAACACATCCATCGCCTGCTTCATTAGGCTCGTATCCAATTTTACAAAACAGTGGTGAGCTACATTGAAATCTCCCGTTCAAATTTATACATTTAGAGCCCCTGGGGCATGGGTTGCTCTGACATTCGTTGATATCTGAAATGCACTTATTACTATTAATACATATTTGTGTAGAAAATATTATATTAGTTCATTTTAGTCATATGTAGATATTACTGGTTCAATTTGGGATTCTTGATTCTTCCGGGACCTCATCATGTACCCTAATAGGTTCAAAATTCTCCCAAACAAAAACACGAGTTTGCAACAGATTCTTCTCAAAGTAGAATATGATAGAGGACAAACAACCGTGCAAATATCTAATGAGAAAAGGGCAAATCGCACCGTCAATTATTAAGCGTCAGCATTTTACTAATTTTCTCAAAGATTAAGATCATTCCAAGCCAAATAAGACGATTGAAAATAGGCGAAAAATGAATAACTATTCTATTCGTTTGTTCCCTTAAAATAAATCATAAGGATAAGAAACTAGTTTGTACAAGAGCACAACGTTTTCTTTTAATTTAATTTTGCGATATCTGAGGAAAAATAATGAATTCAAGATTGCGCTGTAAAGATTTCCCAAGAACTTTATTTTTATATTAAGTGGAATTGTCTGATTTGCGCTTTTCTTTTTTTAAAGCTTTTTTGAAAAATTGGTTGTGTTCTTAGAAGTAAATTGAATTAAAACCAGAGTTGGTCATTTACAAATGCAAACAATTTATAATTCATTTGGAAAAAGAAAAGGTAATATTTGCAGTGTAAACAGTGTATGCCTGCATAAACAGCCAAAAGAACTTCTGTAGTCGAAGCACTAAGATGAATTTTTCAGAGTTTATTGCTTTTGAACCTGATTAAGTTGCGAAAAATTTGTGGAAAATAGAGAATGAACGTTTTTCATTATTGATTTATTTTTTTGGGTGCAGGTATTAATTTTTTTCATCAATGCAAATTGCAAACTTACCTTCACAATCCCCATTTGCACTCATCTTGTACCCAGGCAGACACTTTTTTAACATGTCATTAATAATTGGCAATATTGTAGTTTTCTTGGTTGGAATATAAAACGGAGCATACGGGGTTCTAGAGTACGGATTATATGGTTCCAGTCTAATTGGTGCTCTAGTTACGTAAGTAGGCACTCTTCTAGTAGTTAGTTGATAAGGATACCTTGTTTTTTCCTGCTGTGTTAGCCACCAGGGCTTTCTGTTATTGCCATAAAAAGGTTCCCCCCACGGGTTTCTGATGGGAATAGGTTTTAAAGTAGTTGTTATATAATTATCAGAGTTGCTAGGCAATGCAGTTCCCGTACTCATACTAGTATAGACGTTTGTGCTTGTGGTGCTGGCTGCTAAGGTAGTTTTAGAAACAGTTACTATATGCGGTTTAGTAGTAGTAGTAGTAGTGGTGGTGGTCGTAGTGGTAGAAGTAATAGAAGGATGGCGATAAATAGGTCTAAGAGGTTCGCATCGGTAAGTGCCCATTTGGTTCTTACATCTGTAATTTGTTCCAAGATCGTTGCAATTATGCGTACCTAACGCACATTCATCATCGTCTTCACAGAGGTCGTTTGCCGAATTGAGAGTATAACCTAGGAGGACACATTTCAAAATTACAAGGAATTAAATTAAACGATCAAAGTGGTGTATTGCCTACCTGTACCGCATGAAACTGTCCTTGTACAATAAAACGATCCAATAGAATTATCACATCTGTGCATCGGAGAACAATTGTCTAAGCGTAGCTGACATTCGTTAACATCTAAAAAGAAAATTGCGTGAAATCGCTTTGATAAATATTTTGTCATTGAGGTGGGATTTCCTAGCGACATCCACTTTTCGCGGCACAGTACCGCGACGTCCAGCACTAACGGCTGTGCGATAAATAGTGTCTTTTGTATTCTGGTTGACTGCAGTGTAATTAAAAGTTGCTTCTTGTCATAATAATTAGCAAGATTCTATATACATATATAATGATCGGTCTATAACGTTCTACGTCTTCCGATTGCCGATCTCCAACCATGCCTGTCAATTCAGGGTCCAGGGATCCTCCTCAAACCTCTGTTTCGATCGTCCACTCCATTTCTCCAGACTCTTCTCGGTCTGCCGCGTCTTCTTCCCCCTAGCTACCAATTTCCACTCAATAATTTGCTTGGGTATTATCGTATCTGCCAATATTTGTAGATGTTCGAACCAAGTTAGTTGTTTGTCTTCGATATCATCTACTATTGTTTGTCTCACGTTTATATTTTCTCTCTTTGGTTTGTTATTCTTTCCACTTTTGACCTGCCTGCCGCTTTCTTCCAAAAGTTCATTCCAGTTGCTTCCAGCGGTTGTCCTCTAGTGGCCAGACCTCCTGAACTCTAGGAATCTATGCTTTTGACGATGGTGCTATACAATGTTTTATTTCTTGCTCGTTATTTAATTTTAGATTTCGTTGTTCTCCTCCTATGGTCATATATTCTCCTCTCGTTAGATTTACTTTCAAACCTCATTTCTTGTAATCCTCTATTCGTTTACATGTCATGTAATCTAGGTCGTTATAATCCTGTGCAATCAATACTTAGTCATCTGCAACGCTTAAGCACAGAAAGCTTAAGGTATTGTTTCGCTGACGCGTCTGGCGGTGGCGACTGATTGCTGCGTCTTATGCAACCTCAGACGGAGCCGCCGGTCGCGGCGACAAGTGGTTTGGTTGGCGCGTCTCATCTCGTTCTGTGTAAGTATACCAACTTATATGTGTGTATACTAATTTTTTTAGAAGAAGAAGAAGAGAAAGAAGAGCAGTTGTTAATTCAGGAGGTTTTCCGGAAAAGGCGTAAGATAAATATACATCCTATATTTTTGAAGAGGACAGAAGAAAAATATTTGAAATTACTCATCAACCATTTGAAAGAAGACGGAGGACGGAGTTTTTTCGTTTAAATTTCGACCAATTCGATTTTCTTTTGGCACGAGAGGAGCAAAAAAGGCCCGGAACAAATGTATTACCTACTATTTTTCCAAAAAGGAGGGTGCTCTGGATTGGCAAGATAGCCAAATTACAAAAAGGAAATAAATACGAAAAATTGAATATGTACCATATGTATTAGGTATAACCTACTATCCAATAAAATAGGTGATACATTTTTTTATTTACATCGAACATCTTGTTTAAAAATAAATTTATGTTCAAGGTGTATCTTTAGGTTTTGGTTCCTGTCTGATAACAAAAAAATTGGTAATTCCAATTGAAAAAAAAAATCTGATTTTGGGTTTTTCGACTTCCTGCCATTTATTTGCTACTATAATACTTATTATTTTATTATTATTATTCTCGAAATGGGGGAGCACTGGGAGCAGCGTTCTCAAGAGAACGAAGGTTCCGTCTTCGTCGCTCATATTTATATTTCCATAACACTGACAAAGACAAACCCTTCGTTTTCATGCGTTCTCATGTTCCCGGGTTTCGAGAATTTGGACCCTGGGGATAAATATTTTTGTTTTCAGCAGGTAGTAATTACTGCCACTTCCTTATGCTCTCATATCTTGGAATTTTATGTTTGAGCTTTGCCATAGTGTAGTCAATAATCGATTAATGTCGTGGGAATATTCCAAGAGCATTAATCATACAGGAAGGAAGACGACATGGAGATTCTATTATCGATGCGCGATAAAACAAGTAAATCGAATGAATCTCGAGAGGGAGAAGGGTATCACAAGACCCCTATACTAAGTCATCTTAATGTTGACGAAAAATTTCGTAGCTTCTTCAGACTCAATAAACATCAATTCAATTACGGAAGAAGAAAACAACCTTAATTTTTCAAACTCACAACTCTAGAATAAAACTATGCTACTTCATTAAACTCCCGAATTTGACAATTTCGAATGATAATAATGGCAGAGAAATCCACGTACCTACTTGATAAATTAAAATTTCTTCGTCTGTATGGGTGAATATTTGTGACATTTTGTAGTAAAATCCACAACGCTTATATTTCAGACTGGATTAAATGTTACTTCTAGGTTTGCATCTTGACATGTTTTTGAGTAGTTCGGTTTCGGCGAGTTGCGACGCTTCAAGCAAAAAGTTGCATTGAATATGCGATAAATGTTATGCTAGGAAATTCCACCTCAACGAGTTAAATCTTTATATTTATTAATTATTGAAAACTAGCTATTAAATAATCGACATTTTAGGCCTTTTTCCACAATCTTTGATAATATTAAAGCCAATGCTATTCCTGCGCATAGACCAATAAGGAACAAATATTATCCATATCCCCAAACATTGACGGCCATCAATAATATCCTATCATCTTTATGTTCTCAGCAGTTGGAGGGTCTATTGCCTGTTACAAGTAGGTACCCATAACGTAGGTATAAAAGCAGTTATCTGGAATGTCAGTAGTGCTTTGAAGAATTATAATATCACTTACCATCGCAGGTGTTTTGCGTCATGTTATATTTGAAACCACGAGGGCATGACCGCGGCTCTGATGATTCTGCAATTTTTGAAGGAATGGTTATCGGAATGTTATTGTTTAGCTGATTATTTGAGTCAATGGGTATGCATTTATAGCCACCCTCTTCGTTGATACATTGTTCGTCTTTCACACATACTTTTAGGTAGTCCTCGCACTCGTTAATATCTGCAATTGTAGTGAGTGTTACATAAATAACTCTGTATATTAATAGTTTGTAAGTTAGTTTCGAAGTTGAACGAAAGGTGTCATTAGTTTTACTTTAAAATAATATTTTTGAAGTTTCAGATTATTTCTAGTATTGTTATATCATTTTGATAAGTTAGTCAATTAATCAAGAAGTTGTCAAGTTGTTGTGTTTTTTTTGTAATAAAACCTTTCGTAATCGAAGTTGTTTCAATAGTACAAGAAAGCTCTTAAATCCAATTAGAGACAGCATTAAAATTTTACCATGTGACATGTGTTACTTCTCATTTCAGCTCAAAAGAAAATACCTTTTTAAATCGATCTAATTTTTCTGGATATAGCATAACTTGGCTATGATTTATCTTTGGGATGTTGGTTTTGATACTCACCTTCGCAGAGCAGAGTCTCGTCATTTTTTTTAAATCCAGCGGGACAAGCTTGCCTGGATGCTTTATCCACGCAAGTATAGTTTCCTTTTGTGTTAACACATAACTGAGAACTTTTGTTGCAATCGTTGTCTCCGCTTATACATTCGTCGATATCTAATCAAATAAATGCAATGGTAGAAAAAACACATTCATAATAATATGGATATGTATAATATTTTTCACCTGCGCATGCTTCAATTGAAGCCTTGTAGTAGAATCCTGGAGGACAATCTGGCCCATCGCACTTAAATGATCCAATAGAATTTTTGCATACTTTTGGTGGTGGACAAATCAAAGGAATTTCACATTCGTCAATATCTAAACCAGAATGGATTTATATGGCTCAATTAGAACTATTATTAAAAAAAAAAAACTAACCATCGCATACGGATTTTTTGACGTTAAACCTGTGTCCAACAGGGCATTTGCTGTATGTTTCTTCATCTGCGTCTAATTCAATAACAAAACATAAATAGGTACCTTCATCGTTTTCACATTCTTCGCCTGCTTCGCATTGATAAATTCCAAGCTCGCATTCATCGATATCTAAAAATGTGAGATCTTGAGTAGGAAATGAGAAAAATATGTAGGAAAATTCATCGGGAATAAAATACTAAATGCTAACTGCCTGAAAAAAAAAAAATCAGTCAGACAGAAAAAATCTTAGATAACGGAATGGGATATAAGTACATTCAATTGAAACCATCTTGCTATAAACTGTTAGAGGAATTTGATAAATGTAAACATAAATACGAACGCTTATAAGTTCATGGATGACGATTAAAATCCGTACCTACTCATTTTTTATTGTTCTTAGGAGAGGTGTCTATCCGTACAATGAGATTTAATGTGGAAGATGATGATTCAATTTGAGACGTATTTACAATAACAGGAAATGCATATTGTTATAAAGTCCCTTGAAACCCACGTGTCATGTTCATTGACCGACCCTGTATGCCCGGTTTTATTATCATAGTCGACGAAGATACACAAATTCCTGGAAATAGTGAGAAAATCATGAAGGCACACGTAGACAGACGGCTAGAAGGCGTGAACACCATAGTGGTGGAGCCAATGTCATGAACAACGAACTTCCTGATGAACCTTCTGCTCAGTGGCTTAAGCACAATTTAATTGCCGAAAATACTCTAGTAGAGTAGGTACTTGAGTGATTCTTTTCTGAGTTTTGCTCAAGAGCAAGTTTACGCTAAAAAAATAGTGAAAAGCTTATGGATGCTATTTATGAAAAAGCTTAGCTTCTCAACTTGCGTTACGTAAAAGATTGTTGACATTGTAGCTGGTACGTGAGGAAAGTTTATTGAAACATTATACTGTTTTTGAAAGTATTGTTGCTGAATTAAGTGCAGCTGGAGCCCAAATAGTCTAGGAAAATGGTCGAAAAATACATGCACTGCAAAAAAAAAAAATCCTACCCAAATGAACTTTTCAGGGATGATAGGGGGCGGGTGGGTGATCATAAAACCGGAAATATCAAACATTCACCCCTCTGGCGTTTTGCGCTATAGGGGTTGAAAGTGCGCCATTGGCGATTACTTGGTACCTATTGATTTTATAAAAAAATGTTTCAAATAAAAGATGTGCAAAATTATTTGATCTACAATGTTTATCTGAAGACTTTTTTGATTAAGGGCCGTCTGTGGTCATAAGGGCCGTTTGAAATTTTATAATGAAAATGAAAAATTGTAACCAACGTGAAAAAATTTTCTACAACACATACAACATTTTTGCTTTATGAAGTTTTTACTCACCCCCTGCCGTTTTTCAATAGGGGTAGTTTAAAGTTTTTTTTATTTTTCTACAAAAAAAATTTCTTGATAAAAGTTTTATAAGATTACATTTCCTACAATTTTTTCTTTTTAACTTTTTTTATAACTCACCCCCATTCAGCGGGGGGGGACTTCCTTTGGTAAAATTTTAGTTTTTAGGGGTATACCTATATTATTTTTTTTTTGTCGCCTTTAGTGCATATAAAAAGTTGCAATTAACATTGTATTAAAATGATTTTTTTTTCCACCACCTTTTTGTTTTTAGGGGTAGTTCGCCTATTTTTAACTTTACAAAAAAAAATTATAGAGAAAAGGTGTTCAAAATAATAAAATGAACAACTATTCTTAATTATTTTTTTTTGTAAAGTTGAAAATAGGCGAACTACCCCTAAAAACAAAAAGGTGGTGGGAAAAAAATCCTTTCAATACAATGTTAATTGCAACTATTTATATACACTAAAGGCGAGAAAAAAAAAGAAATTAATATATACCCCTAAAAACTAAAATTTTCCTAAGGGAAGTGTCCCCCCGCTGAATGGGGGTGAGTTATAAAAAAAGTTTATAAGGAGAAATTGTAGGAAATGTAATCTTATAAAACTTTTATTGAGAAAATTTTTTTGTAGAAAGATAAAAAAAACTTTAAACTACCCCTATTGAAAAACGGCAGGGGGTGAGTAAAAACTTCATAAATCAAAAATGTTGCATGTGTTGTAGAAAAACTTTTTAACGTTGGTTACAATTTTTCATTTTCATTATAAAATTTCAAACGGCCCTTATGACCACAGACAGCCCTTAATCAAAAAAGTCTTCAGATAAACATTGTAGATGCGCATCTTTTATTTGAAACATTTTTTTGTAAAATCAATAGGTACCAAGTAATCGCCAATGGCGCACTTTCAACCCCTATAGCGCAAAACGCCAGAGGGGTGAATATTTGATATTTTCGGTTTTATGATCACCCACCAGCCCCCTATCATCCCTGAAAAGTTCATTTGGGTAGGAATTTTTTTTTTGAAAATCGACAATTTTCCTAGACTAAAATAGATGAATTGGATAAAGTATGTCACTTACTGCTCACTCTCCTAGCAGAATATGATGGTGTAATAACAACCGCTTTGGAGACTTTAAATATTGGGAATCTCACATTAGCATTCGTCAAAACCAGATTGTTGGATCATGAGAGGAAGTTAAAGGCAGGCGAAGGAACCAGTACCAAAGTATTGCAAGTTACCAGTTTAAGAGGACAACAACAACAACGTCCATTTAAATCGAGATTACATGCGAAGAAAAATAGTTTCAAAAATAAATTTACAAAAACCGAAATATAATAGCGCTATTATAGCTATAGCGATATAATTGTGTTAAGCAATTTGGGATGATTTATCAATTTTTGAATTTTCCTGGAGTGACTAAATTAGTGTATGAAGTTTGGGAGATCCCAGAGGACTATTAGGATACAAAATCTTGATAAAAAAATTTGAAATTCCATCGTTAGATTTTGGAAAAATTTGAAAGGTCATAACTTTTTTTCTATTATAGATAGAAAGCTGAGATTTTCAGCGATTCTCATTTCAATAGAGGACTACAATCCCTGAAAATTTCAACGTATATAAAATCGTGTTAAGCAATTTGAGGTGATTTATCAATTTTACAATTTTTCTGAGCGCCTTTTATCATAGATTCCGGATCCAAATCTCAGAATAATTTAGTGTATGGAGTTTGGGGGATCTCAAAGTAGCATTAAGACACAACATCTCAACAAAAATAATTTGAAATTCCATCGTTTAAGTACTGAGGCAGTTCATTTGGACTTATAGTTCCCGAAATAAAATTGCGTTCAGTGTTATGGTAAGGCAGGCCACTTTCTGGACCTGACTGAAGTTAGGCGTTGCCGTTACTTGTTGGGTGGCACAAACACCAGACTACGGCTTTATAGGCAATCATAGGTCTGATGATAGCAGTGTAGATCCACATCACAACGCTGGGCTTAAGGCCGTAAGTTCTACCTACAGTTGTGCGGCACTGCTCAAAAAAAAATGTGCGCCTTTTTCAGACTTCTGTCAAGGTGAAGATTCAAGTTCAATTTTGCATCTAGAGTGTAACCAAGGTATTTCACCTTTTGGCGAAATCTAATTGTGTGTTCAGTAGAACGGTTTCCCTAAGAGGTGCCGTCATTATGATGAGTGAAAATTTTTCCGGCAAATTTCCCAAGTAGCACAGAAATATTGCTATTAGACTGAAGTGCTTTATATCCGATTTGTTAGAGCATTTGAAGTAACAAAACTGATTTTTAAGAGACTCAATAAATACAAATGTATCATGAAAACAAATTTATTTTGTTATTTTGCTATATAGATATTTTCAAGATTAATTTAAATAACAATTTTATAAGTTTGGTAATTAACTTGCTCATAAATATTTATATGACAAGACTTATAAAACTGTTTTCGTTTGAGATAGATATATTTTGTAGTTGCTTTATAGCAATATTCACAAAAAGATATAAATCACTTATAAAAGTATGCATTTTGATTTATTACGGCTTTATCATAAGATTTTATAGTATTTATGGAGAATTATTTATAAAACAGTTCATTCTTAGCAATAATTTAGTTCCGTTCAATACTCTTATAAAACTATTTTATAATTGTTGTGGAACAAAATTGAATAAAGCACTTAAAAAAGGGTTAAATAACAGAAGTGTCTCACAAAATACAAAATTATTATTAGGGTAACCTTATAAAAATGTTATAGCACTAACCTAAAATTTAGTTTATCTACCTACGCTGCAGAAAAATCTTGACATTTCTAGTTTTAATTCCAGTGATAATTGATATAGATATCTATTGCTAATTATCAATATGTCAAGCATTTCTTGCTGGATAATATTAAGAAAAAGTGGCAATTTCAGGAAAGAGGTACACGCTAATTTCGAAAGATCTGATTTGGTGTCATTTAAGCAACATATATCTGTATTAAGGGCGTTTAGCTTATAATAACGTAACATAACATATTATAGTAATAAGGTAGGTATCCAATTTCTAATTTTCTTATAAATGTATTCTACTATAAAAGTATTGTAAAACTGATACAGTGAGATAAACTTAATAATAATATTGTTATTTAAGCAATTTTTCTGAAGGCTATATAACAATAGTATTTTATAAGGGTTTTAATATTATGGCAATTTCTTCAGATATACCGACACCTACGCCACCTAGCACCATGATCTGAAAACAAATATACATGATTCAGAACAGGCGATGCGACGTTGTCAAACTGAATATATTATCTTCAAGTATCCAGAATATTTATTTGAAATTCAATAAAAATTATTAAGGGTTGATTATGATCGAATGGCCTAGACAAATACGCAAACACATGAACCGTTACAAGTTACTGTCTATATTAGGTAGGTACTGTAACCCTGCTGGTAAACCACAGTGAACTAAAAATTAAAATACAGAGAAGGTATAATCTATATACCTACCTATTTAATATAATTCAATTAAAACTTGTTGGAATTGTTACGGTGTGGCCAAAAACTCTAATTAAGTACCTATGACTATTTTCTTCCAATTTTAAATTCCAACTTTTTTGATTCAATTCTGTCGGCCACGAGTTTTAATTATGATTTTTTATAAATGAAGTTCGAAAGTTACTAGTAACTTTTGATTTTCATCCATACAAAATTGAAAATATATAAAGGTACACGTTTGTTCTTGACATGGCAACATTGCAATGTCTGGAATATTATAA